CTGTGTGTGTCTCTGTGTGTGAGAGTGTGTGTGTGTGTGTGAGTGAGTGAGTGTGTGTGTGTGTGTAGGTAAGAAGGGCTCTGATCTGGGCGAGTATGACCCGCTGACGCAGGCCGACAGCGAGGATGAGACGGAGGACGACGATCTGGTGCTGAATTACCCTCGTAACGGTCTGAGTCCGGCGGTGGCCGATCTGAGGGAAGAGGAGGAGTTGGATGAGGAGGAGGAGGAGCTGAGAGAGGGGGCGGGGGCTGGGCGGGGTCAGGGCGGAGCCGCGGAGGAGAAGGCGGCGCAGGTGCGTGGGGCGGTGCGGACCGCTGTGTTCCTGCTGCCGCTGTCCTGCGCCGCGCTGCTGGTGCTGCTGTGTGCGTTCCTCATTCCCTGCCCGCAGGGGGCGCCACAGTGGGAGAGAGAGCTGGGAGACACGGCAGGTGAGTGTCGCTCCACCGCATAACCCGTGAAATAAAGCTGCAGCACCACCAGCATGTGCTCTTCCTCTCAGGCGTGACGTCCCCTCCTGTTGCATTGTGGGACGTGGATGGCGACGGACTGGAGGACGTTTTGATTGGCGTTACGAACATCTCCAACAACAGCCAGCCAATGAACGCACAGAGCAAAGGTGAGCAAATCAAATCCCTGCAAACGCAAAAACTATTCATTCCAGCACAAGAGTTAATACGACTGCAACTCGTTAACTGTAACAACAACTTTAACGATAATTGTGATGAAAACTTTCAAGATAACTGTAACAAACAATAACTAATGATATAACTGGAATGATAACTAACAAAAAATAATGGTAACTGTAACAATAACTAGCTGTAACTGTAATGATAACTTTAAAGGTAACTGTAACAAACAATAACTATAATGATAACTGTAAAAATAAAGAACCGTAACAATAATGCTAACTAATGATAACTAACAATAACTATAACAGTATCTGTAACAGTAATGAACAGTAACAATAACGATAACTTTAAAGATAACTGTAACAATAAATAATGATAACTGTAACAATAACTGTAACTAATGATAACTTTAAAGGTAACAGTAACAAACTATAACTGTAACAATAACTATAATGGTAACCAACAATAACGAACAGCAACAGTAACTGTAACAAACAATAACTAATGATAACTAACAATAACTGTAACAATAAATAACTATAACGGTAACTGTAATAATAACTTTAAAGATAAATGTAACAATAACGATAACTGTAATGATAACTTAAAACGTAACTGTAACAAACAATAACTAACTGTAACAATATCTATAACTGTATAACTAACTAGAACTGTAACAATAATAGTAACGGTATCTGTAACAGTAACGAACAGTAACTATAATGATAACTAACATTAACTGCAGATGTAAAGTCCCTCCTTGCACTGC